AAGTCGACCCCTCTTCTTTAGCTGTTCCCTTCATCTGGCAACTCTGGGCATGCGCACATTGGAAACAGGCTCCAGCTGTTCGTCTGCCTCATTGATGTCTGACTCTGAAGGCAGCTGATAACTGGTTTATGACTCTGGCCCCCTCTCTGCCTCTGACACAGAGCCCTCATCAGAGCCTTCCCCAGACTCCAGGACTGGCCCATTTTCCTCCCCAACCTCCTCACTCTTCGAATCTGCTGCTAGCTCCGCTGGTGGGCCACAACAGGGTCTATGGACGACAGGTTGGGAACCATTGTCATATATTATGTATATTTACTTAGAATTACCTTCTGATATGTTCAAAAGATTCACCTGAGAGATAATTACAAAGACGTTTGCAGAATTCATTTTCTAGTTATTTACTGCACTTCAAAGGTGCATTGTGATGTATTTGTGCTTACCTGTCTCACCAGCATGAAAGAAATATGGCAATGTAATTTTTTTAATTTTTGGCAACCATAAAACTTTTTGCAGCTCAAAGAGAGACTTTCCACCATCTTCCCAACCAACCTGAAAAGGAGCATTACTCTGGATCAGCATTCAGTACTTAGATATTATTAATCTATCAATAACTAGCATTAAAAAAACAAACAGATCTACTCTATTAATACAGATAGTCTTCGATTTATGATGAGCCATGGTGGCACAGTGGTTAGAGTGCAGTACTGCAGGCTATTTCTGCTGACTGCCGGCTGCCAGCTATTTGGCAGTTCAAATATCACCGGCTCAAGGTTGACTCAGCCTTCCACCCTTCCGAGGTCAATAAAATGAGGACCCAGATTGTTGGGGGCAACAGGCTGAGTCTGTGAACCATTTAGAGAGGGCTATAAAGTGGTATGTAAGTCTAAGTGCTATTGCTATTAAGACCACAATTGAGCCCAGAATTTATATTGCTAAGTGAGAAATGTGTTAACCATTCTACAACTTTTCTTGCCACGTTTGTTAAGTGAATCACTGCAGTTGTTAAATGTGGTTGTTAAGTGAACCTTTTGCGACCCCCATTGAGGTCGCAAAAGGTCACAAAAGATGAGCAGAGGACCTTGGGACACTGCAATCATCATAAATGTGAACCAGTTTGTCAAGCATCGAAATGTAAATCATGTGACTATGGGGATGTTGCAACAGTCCTAAGTGTGAAAAACGATCATAAGTCACTTTTTTCAGTGCAGTTCTAACTTCAAACGGTCACTAAATGTAAATCAGTGTAAACCGGTGTAAATCAAGGACTACCTGTAGTATGGCATCAGCTGCAAACAATTGGCACTGGAAATTAGGGACCCTCCCTAGTTTTCCAGAGAGTACAAGTCATCCAGTACAATCGAGCCAAACAGTTTTGTTGCTAAGCAAGACAATTGTTCAGTGAGTTTTGTCCCGTTTTATGACCTTTTTGCCAAAGTTATTCAGCAAATCACTTCAGTTAAGTGAATCTGGCTTCCCTCATTGCTTGTTGGAAGCCAGCTGGGAGGGTCATGAATGGCAATTACATGACCCCGGGATAGTGCAATTGTCATAAATACATGCCAGCTGCCAAACAACTGGATTTTGATCATGTGACCACAGAGAGGCTGCAATGGCCGTAAGTATGAATGGTCAATGCTGTTGTAACTTCGAACAGTCACTAAACAAGTGTTGTGGCCCGCCAGCAGCCAGCGGAGCTAGCAGCAGAGTCAGACAGTGAGGAGGTTGGGGAGGAGCATGGGCCAGTCCTGGACGCTGGGGAAGGCTTGGACAAGGGCTTTGCATCAAGCAGAGATGGGGCCACGGCAGTGATCAAGTGCCTTCGAAGCTAGACAGCAGTGAGGCAGAGGAACAGCTAGAGCCTGTTCCCTGTGTGCGCATGTGCAGAGCTGCCAGAAGAAAAGAACAACTTAGGGTAGACTTGGGAGCAAAGTCACAGGTGGAAGGTGATTGGCCCCTCCCATAGGAAATAAAAGAGGAGTTAAAATGGAGTGGCTTTTTGCAGGGAACAATTTGTTCGGTTGGTGGTTAAGATTCTTTTCAGGAGTGTGAAGATCTGTCCGTGAATATCAGAGACTCTGCGCCAAGTCTTCCCTTGCACAGCACCCCATTTGGAAAATATTTACATGGCAGCTTTCCAAGATAGATAAGTTCTGTGGTCATAAATATTCCTTTGAAAGACTGTTTGCCAGGCCTTGCTGAATCTGAACGAGAGGAATTCACATTCGTTTAATAAAAGGGGCCAGGACGGGACCAGGACTCTGCTTCGTGCTTTTGGGGGAAGCCTAGGTCAGAACAAGTGGTTGTAAGTCAAGGATT